ATATACAATGTCATTACATCATCAATATTATATACGTATGTTGTATAGGTATACTCACTAAGCTCGGCGTCATACCTATATACATCATATTATTATCACAAATATCTCGTCATTAGTGAACCGCGTGCAGTATACTAATATAATGTTGCCGCGGGTTTAATATATATATTATATTTTTAAAACGACGATAATATTATATATTATTATTCTATACAATATACGCTGCAGTCGCACAGTATACTATTGTGGTGGATGTGTATTGTGCCCGTTTGTTTTATATGAATATAATATATTATATTATTAATATATCACAACGCACACATCGGCCGCAGCAGATTTCGCCGAATCGTTTGTTTCCAGATATTCACCCATGTATAACAATATTATCGTGTACGTACGAGATGCGTGATTGCGTATTTGCGCGAACGACGAGAGTCGGAATTTCTACGTGTGCGGCGTGCCTCCCATATTTTATATTATGTGAATGCAAAACACACAACCCCGACCCCAGCATGGTACGATACTCTTGAATTCATTTATAAATTGATAGAGACCTGTAAACCTCTCCGGTCAGCGCTCACGACTTTTCGCGGTTTTTTATTTTTATTTTTATTCCTCCGCCAACTGATTGGATTTCAAATGTCATTGACGTGTTGTGCTCAACTTCAATGTGGCTACTGATTTTTATCCGGCCATGCGGTGTAAGACTACGTCACGAGAAAGACATTTTCAGTTTATTTTATTTCTTATGACGTGATTTCTAAGATATAGGTAGTTCCATTTTACCTGCACAAACGTTATTCTTGCGCTCCGCCCCCGCTGGTACCTGATATGATTTATTTTTGTCAATCAATATCTGATTCATGATTAACCAATACGATATACCTATATAATATGATAATCGATTAATACCTAACATGTTTTTTCGTCGCATTAAAGTAGTTTTTGTTGCAATTATAGCACTATTTTAAATACCCAGGCTGTCACACATTTTTATCTAGGGGATTTTCTTAGTGCTTTCCGATCATCATATTCCTAGTCCATTATTTATAACCAACCTTATAAGGGTTGATATTTTAGAAGTTATAAAGGTTATAATAATGCTTGGTGAAAAAAGTCATTTCAATTAGTAGGTAAATTAAATCCATACGTATATGATATAAGTATATCTAATATATATTTTCAACTGTTCAACCTATTATTAAATTCACATTTATTATAAGCCACATTGTTCAGCACAATATTCGAAATGATCCGCTTTGTGTTCGATTTTTCTTTTATTAGATGTATGTGGTTAGGGTGGCGTAGCGAGGCGAATTGAAAATTACCGCACTATCGGAAACCGACGATTTATTGATCCGTTTTATTTTTACGAACGAGACTGTACACACACAAACAGAGATTTCTTCAATGGTCATTAGATACTATAGTATAATCATATATATATATATATTCAAGGGGGACTGGAAAGATTAATAGAGATGACCCTCCCACGGACTTATTGTATGGACGAAATGATGGATGTATTATACATAATATTATATATATATTATGCACACTTCACGTCCAAAGTTATGGCTCTGACAAGAATACATATTCGGCGCACACGTAAATGTACTGTGTGTATGGAAATCATTATTCTTCGTTCAAACCGTCATTATATATTTATTATTTATATATTAAGCCGGACAGCGGACAAACGACGGCACCTCACATCTCTAATCTATGATACTACGGTATATAATAATTAATTAGTAAAATATATAATTTGTATCATATTATTTTAATATTATATGTGTACAAGGTTTTCATTGCATGTGCCGTCTTTTCTTTGTGCGTATATGTGGTATACATTATGCATAATATTTCGTACAAATCACATTTGAATATATTTGATCGGAGGACGAGTTTATAACTCTGCGATTTACTTAATATGTATTTTTATATGGTTTTAGATATATTTTTCTGGCTGTAAGCATCCGTACAAATGGTTATAAGTTATAACTAATAAACAACAATAATTATATATACAGTAACATAAATACAGATATACTGGGCGTCTGGGCGGCGCTGAAACTATATTATACTATCATATGCAAAATATATTATATTAATATTTTCAATCAATTACTTTTTATTATATAAATTATTATACAGCTGCCGTTTCGTTGATCTCTACTGAAAGCTTTTCCGTCTCGTGTTTTTCTCATAAAATATGTTCCTCGACGGTTGTTCGACTATTTATTACCACGATATAATAATATTATTGACCAAACAAGTTATAATACAGTGAATTCTTTTAATCATATTCATAATATAGTGTACTACAGCAGTATTAGTATTAGTAGTGGTACTGCTACTATCTATTTTGATTTTATTTCACAGGATTGTCTAATCCTGAGCATTTAAATATTTCTCCCGATCGCAGATCCTTTTTATCGAAGATATTAAATTAATAGAAATTACCGATAAATATAAATATTATGTATATAAGCTGTTTACTTGAATATTGTAGTTCGATTTTTTTGAATGTACCCAACGTAATAACATAATATTAATAATAATAATAACATTAATAATATAATATAATAAGGTGCTACGACGATCGCAGTTAACTTATTCGATTCTGATGGTCGTGTACCACCTATTATAAGGTATTCGTATACTGCCCGCGGCTGTAAATATTAATATTATGTTTTCGAAAATCCATTATACACGCGCGTGCACACGGCGGCGGACGATTTGTGTACGCTCACAGAAATCATATTGATATATTATTATATTATACGCGCAAACGTTTTTATTGGCTCCGTGCCCGACGGCCAATTCGATTACAATGTGCGTGTACGTATAATATTATTATCACAATAATTTTCTGGGAAAAGGTCTCGAGCAAAGAGCGAATAGAAGAGGGTTAACCAGCCCCGCAGTATATACGTTAAGTCAAAGATTGCGAGCAATGAGGCGAATGTAGCACTTATCTCCTCCTTCTGTAATATCGTGATGTTGTGATCATTGAGGAAATTTTTCAAACCCACGATGTTGTCCCTCACTATATTGTCTATATTGTCATGACGTCTTAAGTATAATATGAGTTACAACATAATACGCACATAATATTATATTACGTACCCATCCACCGTTAAGTGTACACGACGAAATCCTTTGACAAACATCAACGCGCATATAGGACAACACGTCATAATTTAATTTATTATCATACACGATACCAATCGGACGGGAAAGTCAACCGCAGTATAACATTTGCGTGTGATAAATTCAGGGAAAATATAGTACAAAGTAAGAATCACATACAGGAATATACAAGTTAATTGGGCGATTTCTTTATAGAACGCGGTCTGTAGAAAATCGTGATAAATCGTTTAATGTGCGTGGTACACTATTATGTAATATAATAGTATATCACTATAATAGTTATACGTATAGATGTTTATAATGCGTCCTACGATATGATTCGATTCGATTAATTTTAATAGTGTTTCGTATTCGTAGCTAAATTAAATTTTTTTTCTCTCTAGTCGATTTACAGACACATTTCTATATTTTACTAGGAACAGTTCGTAAATGACCAAAATTACTTAATAATACTATGATGGCCGTATAAATAATGTACGGGGGGCAGTGGGAATATCCACTGTAGGTATCTCGCGGTGACTCGGTATAATATAGGTGTGTATTGTGATAATAATATTATGCTCTGTACATTATACAGCAACGGACCACTGGTTAATGAGAGATAGAGTGAACTGGCGAAATGTGCTTTGTGATTTCCCGAGTCGACTGCGAGGACGAAAAAAAAATACCTACCCGGGTATTTCTTCTCGCCCCGGCGCTGCACGACTGCAATAATTTTCAAAGTCGGTAGACGAATGTCCGCCGCCAAACTAGTCATTATATTTCGTTTTTGAGCGGGTACAGTGCAATACATCATGACGTGCATGACGTACATTATAATAATAATAATAATAATCGACGTCCGCGGTTAATAATATCACGCTCCGCGCGGACGCGTGTATCGTATATCATGGGCCTATGATAGTATATGATATATGTGTATGAGCGTGCCTTTTATAGGTTATAATACTTAGGCTAGGTTCACATGGACGCGCGTACACGCGCGTCGATTAATCGCGCGTATTTAGATATGCGAGTTTCTTATACATCATTCACATGGATGCGCGAAGACGCGCGTACACGCGCGTCGATCACGACAACGACGCAAGATTTTATTTCCGCGCGTCTACGCGCGTGGCTTCGCGAAATTAAATACTGTTGATCGTTATTGGACCGTTCAGTTGACACGCGCGTTTAGGTGTTTGTGTACCCGATTTACGAAATAATATACATTTTTAATTCACTTATTTGTATAAAATAAATGTATAAAGGTAATATATTATATTAATAAAGGAAATAATATAATATTTAATTAATAATATTATTATTATTATTATTATTAAGGACACCGTCTAGACTCATTTACTATTCTAAGAATGCCAGTTATTAAATCGAAATGTATATTTTCAATTATTGTTATTTTTGAACATAATATGTTATTATATGATGGAATTGTGCTGGGGTTAATTTTGTGATCAATTGCGATTGTTACCGTGAGCAGCTCGTGTTACTCGTATCACTCTAATAATATTATAGCTACTTTATAATTTACTTTCACTGTGATCGGTTTGAATATCGTGTAAATTTATTATTCTTTGAAAAAAAGTGTTTTTTGTATAAAAAAATATGGAAATTAACATAGACACATTAATCAATGAAGTTGAAAAAAGGCCTGCCATATGGGATATGTCAAGCCATGATTACTCAAACCGAACAATGAAGAGAAGAAGTTGGGAAGAGTTGGTGCTTATTTTTTGTGGCACAGAAGATTCGGAAGAGCAGAAAAAAAGTTTAGGTAGGTACTTAATTAATCTATATTTTATTATATTAACGTTGTATTAAAATTTACAAAAATAGAAAATTATTTAAACCATTTTATCTTGCCATTCTAATTTACCTTCATTCATAAAATGATTGGTAAACTGTTTTCGAATCGTATCAGCATCACGTACATTACGACCAGTATAGGTTGGATTAAGATTTGATAATGGTGCTGCATAAAGCGTATCTTCATATTTGAAACCGTCTCTCACTCTGACATAGTTATGTAAGACACATATGGCTTTAACAATATTTTCTGCAAACTCGATCTTAACATCTAGTGGTCTGTGCAATATTCGCCATTTACTACACATAATGCCAAATGTGCATTCTACAAATCGACGGGCCAAAGTTAACCGATAATTAAAAATTTTTTTTTCGTACGATAAACTTTTACCACCATAAGGTCTCATTAAATTTTCTGTCATACCAAATGCTTCGTCAGCT